ACATTAAGATTTAAGAGATGGATAGACCGTGGTAGAAAACTGAGAACAGGTCACAATTTTTTGGCTTTTTTAGGTTGTAATTTGTACTCACGCTGCTGCTTGGCTAAAGTGGCAGCTAACAGAAAAGGAAATGCTGGAAACAGGCTGAAGATGAGTCGGGGAATCTGTCATAGAGCAAGAATATGTCTACAATTCTAAGATGATCTGTCCCACTGGAGGTCAAACACAGTTCGTCTCATTCACAGGAGGTTTAGGCTGAGTTCTGATCTTTCTTGCTCAAGCCATTTTTACTCTGTGGTAATCCATCAGTATGGTCTGTGTGGTTGCAGGATTTAGCTGGTGGGCTTAGTGGTTTATATTCACTGTGAGGTATGAATACACATGTGACGTGACACACAGCACAACACATGGCACACTCTGTTAGGTCTGCGCTTCCACAGGCCCCGCTAATTTAGAAACTTATTCTCATTCACGAAAGCAAGGAAACAAAACGGAACCAGGTTTTACTTGCTAACAAGGGAAGGCTGTACTGACTGACATCCTCTCTAGGTTATCCAAGCTGTATTTGTGCCTATTGTAGTCCAGGATTGCTTCTTGCTTCCAGGCTTCCTCTATTGCCCATCACTGACTGCTGGTTCCCTGTGTGTTGTGCTCAAATGAAGCACATTCCTCCGTTGCTTTGGCATGTGGGAAATTGTCATAGTAGTGCTCCTGAACCTGAGGAGCTTGTTTCTCCAGTCTCAGAACCATCTACTGATGTGGTCCCGACACAGGAGAATCTTGGTCCTCAACGTGAAGAGCTTGACTCTCCTGTCTCAGAGTTCTGCAGGTTTTAGATGTGTCCTTGAACCAACACAGCTGATTCAAATGGCTAAATTACCTCCTCAACATGTCTTGAAGTTCTCCAGGGGGCTGGTAATGAACTAATCATTTGATTCAGGTGTGTTGACCCAGGGTGAGATCTAAAGCCTGCAGGACACCGGCCCTCGAGGCCTGGCGTTGCCTACCCCTGATATAGACAGTGCTTGAAGCAGTTATGACCTTCTTGCCATATTGGCAGAATAAATGACCTGGAAGCTGTTGCACTGTCTGCACCTGTAAACTCCAGGACACGTTTACAAACAATTTTCGTTGTTATTTGCGCTGCAGCTGCAGGTTAGGGTGGAGTTACTGTATGTGTGTGTGTTTACAAGTAGTTTTAAACCTTGTGATCCACAAAACAGCATAACAGTAAAAGAAGAATTGACTGCGTTACAGTCAGCGCGGGAGCGGCGGCTTTGCTCGTGCGCGATTCATTTGCAGTTTGGACGCACGTGAACATCTCCTGCCCTGACAGCGGCTGGAGGAGGACTATCCTCCGCCTGTGAGCGCTTTGGCACGAGCGAGGTGCCCACGGCAGCACCCGCTGCTTGTTGAGAGTAAGAGTAACAGCGCTTTCACGTCAAAAGTCGTCATAAATAAGCCTCCAATAACACCAGAAAAAGCCGCCAGATTTGTCGCAAGTCGCTTTTTAGAAAAAAAAAAAAAAACGACGCTAAGGGGGGTTTGAAAACTCCCTAAATATAGCGACAAAATCGCTAAGTTGGAAACACTGTTTGGACTGTTTTCAGGGTATTTAAAAAAAATTCAAAACAAAACCGTGCGTCACAATGGGTATTCTCTGAGCATGCGCAGAATTACGCACAGCTGTCATGTGATCCTGTGACCAAACAAAGGATCAAAGGCTCAAAGAGCGCTGACGTCAAATTCGCTGCCACAAAAGTCTATAAATAGCCCCTCTTCACCTTTGCAAACACAGTTTTACTTGGAACATTTTCAGAAACAGCGAGTTGTGTTTAGCACACCAGAAACCTTTCAGAAAGGGACTATTTTAAAGTTAAATAATTAAGCACACGTATTTTTCTTTCGACACGTTGCATTAAGCTTTTAAAGAAATGTCACGAGAAATAGTCAATAATTCACAGTCTGACAGAGCGATTCCAGCGGAATCACAAAGACTATATGGGTTAGTGGAGAGAGAAATATCGGATAGAGACCTTCAAATGAAAATACAAGAACAAATTAGTACGATGCATCGTGATGTCAAGGCAGAGTTAGAGAGACTTGAGCACCAAGTGGGAGAAGCTCACCACAAAATAACAAAAAAAGAAGAGATAATAGAAAAACAGAATAGAGAAATAGATCACAAGACTGAACAAATAATTGAGCTGAAAAAAGAAATATGTGTTCTTCAGCGTCGGGTGAGACAGGCTCTGGATGAAAAACAGTCAAGGGTGGATTCTCTGGAGGCTAAATTGCAGGAACAGGTTAACACCGTTCAAATGATGCACCGTGACTTTCTGGAAAAGGAAGAATATCTCCTTAGACAGAACAGCAGCATTGCTGCTCAGTTGTCACTTATTGAAAGGGAGAGAGACGAACTCAAGAAAACTTTAGAGCCTCTTGAGTACCAAGAACAACAGTCACAGGTGGAATCTCTGGAGGCTCTGCAGCTGGAGAATTTTGCTCCTGAACCTGAGGAGCTTTTTTTTCCTGCCTTGGAACCACCTGTGGTCCTGACACAGGAGAATTTTGCTCCTGAACCCGAGGAGCTTTTTTTTCCTGCCTTGGAACCACCTGTGGTCCTGACACAGGAGAATTTTGCTCCTGAACCCGAGGAGCTTTTTTTCCTGCTTTGGAACCACCTCCTGACGTGGTTCCGACACAGGAGAATCTTGGTCTTCAACCTGAGGAGCTTGATTCTCCTGTCTCAGAACCATCTCCTGACGTGGCTCCGACTAGTAGTGGTTCATGGCGTCATGGTGCCAAACGCCTACTTAAAATAGGTTTAGGTGTTGCCGCAGTAGGCCTTATTATAGCTGCAGGTTACTGGGGCTTTTCAGTGCTTAACAGTGATTGCCTATTTAACTCTGTCTATGGCCTCGTTGAGCCATATTGCCACCTTGGTGATCGATTAGTCCCTTTTTAAAGACTAGTAATGATGGACTGCTTTTCATCCACAGTCCAGAAAACCATACGTTGTTCATATCAGACAACATAAGCAACATTTAGCTAACTTGTGCTCTCATTTTTCTTTTCTTTTGCCTCTCACCCCCAACCAGTCGCGACAGATGGCTGCCCCTTCCTGAGCCTGGTTCTGTCAAAGGTTTCTTCCTGTTTAAAGGGAGTTTTTCCTTTCCACCGTGCCTAGTGCTTGCTCACAGGGGATCATTTGATTGTTGGGGTTTAATTTGTTAAAAAACATAACAAATTAGGTGAGGGGTTCACATAATAGAGAGCACAACAAAAACTACAAATTTTTAAAAAATTTGTTAGTTGCAAATCAAAATAAAGACAACAGTTTCTGAAAAACATCTCTTACGGCTCTGTTTATTTGCTTAAATGAACACTTGTATTTTTTTGTCATAGAAGAATATACATTGTCTTAAGTATTTAATAATTTTAAATTTAGCCCTGCGCTGCATGAGATAAACTGAGATGAGATAAACACAGACGGCTGTCGGCCTGGCAAGGGAAAGTTCCTCTTCAACCTCCAAACTAAACCCAGTTTGTTACTCACAGCATCGCAAAATTAGACACAGCAATTTCTTAGAGTCTGGTTTAAGTCCTGAAATGACATCTCCTTACCTGTCACGATTCTGGGTCAGTTTGACCCAGTATTTTGAGTTGTTATGTTTTGGTGTGTTTTTGCATTATGGAGTTTTTTTCTTATTCTCTTGTGGTGCTTGTGTTGGTTATGATGATGATGATGATGATTATTAATCTATGTTTTAGTTATTCTTGTTTAGGGATTAGTTCTTAGGTTTTGTGTTCTCATGTTTTTTGCTGGTTTAGTTCAGTGTCTAGTCTGTCTCTCTCTGTCCGTGTCTTAGTTTAGTGTGTATTGTTTCCTGTTTTATTTTGAAGGATTGTGTCTTATGTCAGTGTGTCCAGCTTCGATCCCCTGACTCGTTAGCCCCAATCTCTCCCAGCTGTGTCTCCCTCCTGTTTTCCATTCCCTGATTACTTCCCTGTGTATATTAGCCCTGTGTTTTCCATTGCTCAGTGTTGCGTCGTACAGGTTATACCTGTGTGTTTTTGTGTTCAGTACTTTCATGTTCAGTACCCTTGTTCAGTTCATGTTTTGTTTTCTCCAGCAATAAAGTTGAGGTTTTAAGTTACAATTTTGTGTTCGAGTCCTGCATTTGGATCCTCATCTCTGCCTGCCCGCACACAAAGCCCTGACATTTCCAGCATAGAAGCATTCACAGTCATTACACTGTATGTACACTATATGTTGAAAAAAAGAAGAAAAACAGAAAGCCAAATAAGAAATACTTCTAAGCAGTAGAAGGTTGTTGACAGTAGCAAGCTACAGGTCTCTCAATATCTTACTGTTTAACTTTTGTGTTAACTAGATTGACATTATTGAAGTCAAGGTTAAATTTTAGTAATGGTGGTTTCAAAATAGTTTCAATGCACTGAAAGGTGATCCAGAAGTAGAAGAGTCATCAGTGAATAATGAAACTGGAGATGTCACTTCTAGAGCAGGACATCTGACTTAAGTCTAATGAACCACGTGCCATTCATTCTTCTTAAATATTTATCACAGTAGTTCATTAAAGAAAACCCGAGAGTGCGAGAGAGAGAGAATATGAACTTAAATTAAATAAATGACTCCAATAAGTAAGAAAGGAAACATTCTAAAGTCTCATTGTACTGTCGCCTCTGTCAGTGCGCCCTAGGGTGGCTGTGGCTACAATGTAGCTTGCCATCACCAGTGTGTGAATGTGTGTGTGAATGGGTGGATGACTGGATATGGAAAGCGCTTTGGGGTCCTTAGGGACTAGTAAAGCGCTATACAAATACAGGCCATTTACCATTTTTTGCATCGCACAGTTACTTTTTTTGTGACGCAATTGTGAGTAACTGTGCGTCACAATACAATATTATATGACGTAATTTTTAAAAAGTAGAACGATACAGTCCTTTTGAGTTACAGAGTCGGAACGCTTTTCTTGGTTCCGGTCGTACGGACGTTTTAGAGTGCAACACAAAGGAGTCACGCTTGCACGATATCAACACTGACAGTTGGTACAGGTTTTTGTGTGTTTGCTGTTAAGCAGTGGAGTAAACCATGGAGGTCCTGGGAGGACAGTTTAGCGACATGACCCCACTGGAGCTGGCGGCTCCTGTCAACACTGTAGCTGTGAGTATGAAGACCGGAAAGGACCGAAAGTCTAGCAGCACGAGCACAGAGATGCTAACGCTAGCGTGGAGGCTGTTAGCTCATAGAGATGCAGAGTGAAGGGGAACGTCCTGTGTCCCAGTTTGTTGTTTCTGATAGATATTGTTTCTAGTGTACAATTTGGAGAAAGTGCATAAGTATGGACACAGTTCGAATAGTTTTCGCGTTATGAATAAAAACGGACTTGTTGTTTATTTGCTCGTTTTCCCTTTTTAACAGGAAAAATGGAAGTTGTTACCAGCCTTCCTGAAGGTAACAGAACACAACAGCCCTTACACACTTTTACTAAATTTTAATGCTGCTTGATTAAAATATGTTTAAAGTATGGTAGAAACTATAATAGTGTGCTGTCATGTTTATAAAAACAGTTTGAGGTGAGCTGAGCTCTGTGAGATGGTGCGTTACCCTGCTGGAAGCAGCCATACTGTGGTTAGCACTAATGCTTAGCAAGCCTTGGTGTTTAAATGGTGCTTAGTCAACTGGGGACCGAAGTGTGAGAAGATAATGTCCCCCAACCCATTTATACCACCACAACCAGCAGCCCCATGCTTTCATGATTTTCACACCAAATTCTGAAATCAAAACTCATTAGACCAGAAAACCTTTTTCCAATCTTATATTGCTGAGTCTGTGCAAAATGTAGCCTCAGTTTCGTGTAGTGGTGTAGTAGTAATTTGACTTACTGTTTCCTTCCTATCACTCCAAAGCAGTCAGACAATAACAAGGACATCTTTATTTAAATAGTACAGGTCATTACATAGAATAGAATTCAACTTTATTGTCACTGGTCAAAGGAGCTTGCAAAGAAAAGCGTCTGGACTTCTTTAAGTTGCTTGAAGACGTTTCACCTCTCATCCGAGAAGCTTCTTCAGTTCTAAGGTCAAATGGTGGAGAGTCCCAGATATAAACCTAGTGGGAGTAACCCCCCACAGAGGGACAAAAGGACCCCCTGATGATACTCTAATCGCCTGAGCCAAGGTGTGAAACTGGGCGTGGGTCCCAATCAGCCAGGGTTTCGGGTGAGCTCATTGTGAAACCTGGCCCCACCTTATCATGCGAATTCCTGAGGTCAGATGGCCCAGGATGTGAGTGGGCGTTAAGGCGCCTGGGAAGGGATCTCAAAACTGGATTATATAAACTGGATTGTGAAGTGGCTGTTTGGTCTCTCCAAACAGCCACTTCACAAGCGCATGGCACAACACAGAAGAGCCACCTCCACAGGACAAGACTCAGCAGTCCATCTGCATCTTAAGGATAAAGGACACTCTTTCAAGGATACCAATGTTCACATTTTGGACAGAGAGGACAGATGGTTTGAAAGAGGAGTGAAAGAAGCCATCTATGTCCACTGTGAGCGACCATCTTTGAACAGAGGCAAGGGTTTACGACACCAACTCTCTGCCATCTATATTCCAGTTTTGAGATCCCTTCCCAGACGCCTTAACGCCCACTCACATTGGGCCATCTGACCTCAGGAATTCGCATGATAAGGTGGGGCCAGGTTTCACAATGAACACACCCGAAACTCTGGCCGATTGGGACCCACGCCCAGTTTCCCACCTTGGCTCAGGCGATTAGAGTATCATCAGGGGGTCCTTTTGTCCCTCTGTGGGGGGTCACTCCCACTAGGTTTATATCTGGGACTCTCCACCATTTGACCTTAGAACTGAAGAAGCTTCTCGGATGAGAGGTGAAACGTCTTCAAGCAACTTAAAGAAGTCCAGACGCTTTTCTTTGCAAGCTCCTTTGACTACGATGACCTGGATGACTGAGAAATTATCGTATTTTACAGAATGATTATTTATACAGAATTACATGACAGCTGAAAAAAACCCTTTGTAGGTTTATGATGTCTTAAGGCATTAGAAACAATAAAATAAAACAACAGCATCTATTAGCTGTGGGCCTGTGTGGCTAAAAAGGTTTTGAGTCTGTTTTTCAATGTACACTGAGATGTAACTGATCTTAGGTCAGCAGCGTGCTCCAAGGAACAGAGCCAGAATATCTGAAAGTACCCTCAACACACTAAGATATGATTTTGAGAACAGATCTGAAACTGATGACCTGAGATGTCTGTACTGGGTACCAAATCATCAAAAGCTTTGTGATTTCTGTGTACCTGTAAGGATTCCAAGGCTAGATTTTAAATGAGTAAGGGAAATCCAACTGATGATTTGGGGAGTCCTGAAACTAGAGCACTGCAATAAACTAACCTTCCTTGACGTCCAATTTCTCAGTCAGTTTGAGATAGGGATTTTCTAACCTTTTTTTAAGTTACATAAAGCAGTTTTGGTAAGCTTATTGATGTGGTTATCTGGTCATTTTTCTTCTGATTCCTTAGCAAGATATTTTTGGCCAAAGAAAAACATTTAGTAAAAAGTGAAACATTTGAGTCCAGTATGGCCATGAAATAATGAAATATTGCCGTAATGACCAAATATACCGCATACAGCGTGTCTTGTTCTTTTACCCTGTTAAAGTTTTAAGTCATGGACCTTCTTTAAATTACTTTTTTTTTTGGTCATCAAATATCAAAGTATCCTCCTGTGTAATGATGAGAGAACAGTTGGTGGGTCTACATCTGTGTGAGTAATATTATTTGGGAGAGTAAACATGTATATCACGTTGTGTGTTTTGCAGGTGAAAGGTTTGGTAAAGCAGCACATCGACTCATTCAACTATTTCATTAATGTAGAGGTAAAACACGAGCATGTCTTTGTCCGTTGCTGCTTTTTCATGTACATTTGGATTTTGAGCATCGATGTCTCATTTGTTCTGCTTCTAGATCAAAAAAATTATGAAGGCAAATGAGAAAATCACAAGTGATGCTGATCCAATGTGGTACCTCAAGTAAGTCACTGTGTGCATCTACCATCACTGACTTTAACACTGCAGACATGCACAACAAGTTGTTTTTTTTTTATTTTTATTTATTTTTATTAAAAGAGGAAATAATGGATTTTTAAATATTTGCAGATACCTCAATATCTATGTTGGCATGCCGGACGTGGAAGAAAGTTTCAATGTGACCAGACCAGTCTCTCCCCACGAGGTGAGAGTAGTCTGTGTTTCTGCTGTTAAGTATGAACCATTGTTTACTGTGCTTTAATTAAAGTTGAATAAAGCTTTAGAGTAATCAAATACACAGCTTTAAATTAGTTAAAATATATATATATATATATATATATATATATATATATATATATATATATATATATATATATATATATATATATATATATATATATATATATATATATATATATTATTTATTTATATATTTATTTTGCACATTAATTCTCTACACTTTGGACAGATAATCACACATTAAATACAGAGGGAACATGTGTCACTCAGGCATCTCTAGACTCAGTTGGCATTTAGTTGTAGCCCTCATAGAGGTATTTCTTAATTAATTATTTTTGTTACTTATATTTGAATGCCTACACCTCCAATACTTTCCTTTAAAGATGATGAGATATAGCTGAGAGTCATCTGTTTCATCCCAAAGTGTCGTCTCAGAGATATGACCTACTCTGCGCCCATCACGGTGGATATAGAGTACACCCGTGGCAGTCAGAGGATAATTCGCAATGCGCTGCCCATCGGAAGGTATCTTTTTTTTTTTTTTCCCCCTCCCCTGATACAGACATATTTATGTTACATCTATATCAATTCTACAAATTTAAAACCTCTCCAGCAAAGCTCAGTAAGCCAACAAGTGCTAAAAAAAGATTTAGCTTTTGTGATTTTTAAGCTTTGTTTGCTGATAAACTGACCTCCTTCACTCATTTGTGCTGACGCATTCTGCTTTATAACAACACTGAAGCAATATTCATATTTTATTAATGAAGATAACTCTGCTTTTCTCAGGATGCCCATCATGCTGCGAAGCTCGAATTGCGTTCTCACGGGAAAGACGCCCATGGAGTTTTCAAAACTCAACGAATGTCCCCTGGATCCAGGCACGTAACCATAGCACTCTCATTTTAACTCTTTCCCCCTGAAGGGCCTCACCTGAACCCTTAATGATGAGTTTTGGCATCTCAGTATATATATATCAGTAAAATGTTTGATGACCATTTAGGGCTCTAGAGTGCGACTAATTTGGTCGCAAATATGACCAAATTTTTCAGTGGTGTGACTAAAAAAAATATTTAGTCGCACCAGTGCGACCAACTGTTCGGGTAACAAAAAAAAAATCGGCAACTCTCCGTGTGGTCAACAACAGACACACAGTATGCCCCTATCGTGGACTAAACCAATCAGAGATAGTCAGGGGCGGGACCTCTCTGATTGGCCGTGGTCCAGTTGAAAGTGCAGGTGGAAGTGGGAGGTGAGTAGCTTGAATAAAACGATATCGATTCATTAAATCCTGAATCGACTTTTAAATAGAACTGTGTTTTGCCAGAAACGCCAGATTCTCCGATTAAAGCCCACAAAACTAATTCAACAACCACCAAACAGCAAATGAGAGCAGGTACATGGATTCCACACAAAGATGTAAACACAGAGCGGACTCGACGCATCAGAATCAGCTTTCTCTTTCTTGGCTTTCTCACCTGATGGCCCAAACACGGACACACTGTCGGAGCTCACCGATTCTGATGCGTTGGGTCCGCTCTGTGTTTACGTCTTTTTGCGCTGATTCTAAGCTGCAGGTTTTGTTTTGAACCGAGCCAGCAGCAAAAGAAGCAGCAAACTACGCTTCACATTTGATAAATGTCGTCATGAATTCCCTCTTTTCACTTAAATGACCTCGGACAAGAAAGCCTAATTTCTGCTGTTCAATACTGAAGAAACTAAAACTTTTTAAAATTATGCAAAATTGCAGAATATTTTTAAGGTTATCTGCTATAAAAATCCAGGCAGAAAAATCTCCTTCATGTTTTTCTGTTTTATTCTCAGTTACTTTGACACAAAGGCATCTGCTGTGATGTTCACAATTCTGATGAAGTCTCACATGTATCAGTACTGATAAATGATCAGAATTATAATATTTCTGACTGTCTGAGGCTAAATTGAATCAAATCAGGACTTTGAGAACCAGAATCGAATGGATTATAGAAATCAGTGATGATACCCAGCCCTAGTGAGTAGCCTAGGCCTGACAGAATAATAATAATACATTTTATTTAAAAATGGCGCCTTTCAAAGCACCCAAGGACACTGTACAACAGATAAAAACACAAAAACTGGAAATATACACAATGATAAGAATAACAGATAAAAGTTAAGAGCATACAGAGGTTTAAACATAAGCAATTTTAAACAGATGAGTTTTGAGGGTGGACTTAAAAAGAGGGAATGAACTAATATTTCTGAGGTCAGGGGGTAAGGAATTCCAAAGTCAAGGGGCAGAGCAACTAAAAGCCCTGCCCCCCAATGTAATCAGACGAGCGGAAGGAACAGAGAGAGAAAGAGAAGATGAAGATCTGAGGCACCAGGATGGGAAGTTCATCTGTACTAAATCGGAGAGGTATGGTGGAGAGAGAGAATGAATAGCCTTAAATGTATAAAGGATTATTTTAAAATGGATGCGAAATTTAACCGGGAGCCAGTGTAGCTGCTTCAGGATTGGGGAGATGTGGTGGGTAGAGGAAGTCCTAGTAATAATACGGGCAGCAGAATTCTGGACACGTTGGAGCTTGTTAATGGATTTTTGTGTAAGGCCAAATAATCGTGAGTTACAGTAATCAATTCGAGAGATAACAAGATTATGGACGAGAATGGCAGTGGCATGAGGAGTGAGGAAAGGGCGGAGGCGATTGATATTACAGAGTTGAAAATATGCTGCACGTGTGACATTATTGATATGTGAATTAAAAGATAATGTGCTATCAAGAATGACACCCAAGCTTTTCACAGAGAAAGAGATAGGGACCAACGAATTATTGATAGTGAGAGAGAAATTGTTAATTCTGGATAGCAATCGTTTAGTGCCGACCAGGAGAAGTTCTGATTTATTGCTGTTGAGTTTAAGAAAGTTGGAGGAGAACCAGGAATTGAGTTCAGCTAAGCAGAGGGTGAGGGATGTGGAGGAAGAGTAGAATCAGGTTTGGTAGAGAGGTAAAGCTGGGTGTCATCGGCATAGCAGTGGAACTGAATGTTATATTTACGAAAAATATGTCAGAGTGGAAGAAGGTAAATGATGAAAGGAAGGGGCCCGAGGACAGATCCCTGGGGCACCTCAGTAGATAGAGGAGAAGGCTGAGAAGTGAAGGATTTTAATTGAATGAACTGAGTGCGGTCAGACAGGTATAAATGGTAAATGGCCTGTATTTGTATAGCGCTTTACTAGTCCCTAAGGACCCCAAAGCGCTTTACACAACCTGTCATCCACCCATTCACACACACATTCACACACTGGTGATGGCAAGCTACATTGTAGCCACAGCCACCCTGGGGCGCACTGACAGAGGCGAGGCTGCCGGACGCTGGCGCCACCGGGCCCTCTGACCACCACCAGTAGGCAACGGGTGAAGTGTCTCGCCCAAGGACACAACGACCGAGACTGTCCAAGCCGGGGCTCGAACCGGCAACCTTCCGATTACAAGGCAAACTCCCAACTCTTGAGCCACGATCGCCCCTTAAAGGTATGATTTTAAACCAGGCTAATGGAGTATGAGAGAGACCAATAGAAGCTAATCTGCTAAGAAGAATGGGATGATGGTGTCAAAGGCTGCACTCAGATCAAGGAGAATAAGGATGGAGAAGAGACCAGAATCAGCTGCCATAAGAAGATCGTTATTTTTATAAGAGCAGTTTCGGTGCTATGCAGAGGACGGAAACCAGACTGGAACTGTTCGTAAAGGTTATTATCAGTAAGGTGTAGATGGACTTGTGAAGCAACTATTTTTTTCAAGAATTTTTGAGAGGAATGGTAGATAGGGTTAGGGGTTAGGGCTGTACAGGCAGTGATCACCCTCACTAATGTCTGATGCACATTCAGAAAAGTTGTACTATAAGCAGGTCTGAAATATGACAGAAACGGCTCATTACTGAAAAGAGTTTCAAGGAGTAAAGAGTTAAAACTTCCTTTACACACTCTGAGAGTAATTAAGTAAAAGAAAATGACTTGTCATCAGGTTCTCCAGTTAAATTGATCCGTGTCCCTTGTTTTGTTTTGTTTTCTCCACAGGGGGTTATTTCATTGTAAAAGGTCAGGAGAAAGTCATTCTGATCCAAGAACAGCTGTCCAAGAACCGAATCATTGTGGAGCAGGACAGGAAGGGTGCAGTTGGAGCATCAGTTACCAGGTACTGTAACAACCTATCCATTAGCAGCTGTTCATCCATGATTTTAAAGTCGCCTTCTTGGCAGACATGTAAAGAAAAAAATCAGCTGTTTCTTTTCAGTAGCTGTCTTGTTTGACCATCTTAACCTTTTCCTTTTATTGGCTTCTTCTTTGCGATTCTGCCCAGAAGCGCAGAAGTGTGGAGACGACTCAACAGTGTGGATGCTGTGACTGGTGCTTGGTGGAAACCATAAAGTGAAGCTGCTAATTTAAGACCTGTGAAACTCTGATATATTCGTGGTCATTCCAGTTCATCAAATCTAAAAGGAAAAAATTTCCACCAGGACTGTGATCATCAGTCTTTCTTGAATTAATTCCAGGGAAAGATGCACTAATTACTAGGAATTATGCAACATTATCCTTGGAATGTTTTAGGGGAAATCCCTGGTATCTCAGGAGTGTAGCTTATGATAACATAGACTGATGGATGCTTAAAGGTCAGAAAATATTTGAGTGTCCTGTCTGTGATAGCAGATGTTGGAGGCCACGATTCTGCAGACTGGCACTTAGTTTACAGATTCTCGTACACAAGGTTCGTGGCATTATTTAAGTATGATTTAAAATAAAAGTTTAAATCACGGCAATTGTTTTATAGACATTAAAGCTTTAATAAGGAACAGCACTGTTTTATCTGGCTGTAGTGTCCTATTTCAAATCTCAGATGGTCACGTGGGAGACATTTGATGACCTGACACTGAATGACCCTTACACCCTTGCTCAGTTGCGCACTCGGTTCTCCAACTTTGCACTTCTCTTTTCTAAATGAAAAGAATACATCACTGTAGATGTTGGCTGGAGTTAAATATAAACCTTTGTTTTTTGTTTTGTTGTTGTTGTTTTTAAGATTATGCAAGAAGTAGATCTATGTATAGCTTAAGCTTTTAGTCTTATATTAGTGGATCCATCTAATTTCTGACTCATTTTCCAATTTGGGGTTGTGTTGGAGCCGGCTGTCATAGGGTGAGCTCTGCTCAGGTTCCCAGATCAGCAGAGAAAACCATTCACACCTTTGACCAGTTAATTATCACCAGTTAAGTTTTTGGACTGTGGGAGGAAGTCTGAGTATGCAGAGAGACCTCACACAGTTATAAGGTGAACATGCAAAAGAACAAGAACCTGACACTAAACATGCTCGTGTTTGCTCTGCTCTTTGTGTCCTCTCCAGCTCCACTCATGAAAAGAAAAGCAGAACTAATATTATTGTTAAACAAGGCCGTTTCTACTTGAGACACAACACGCTGTCAGAGGATGCCCCCATTGCAATCATATTTAAGGTAGGGGTGATTTTTTTTTTTTTTTTTCTTTATGAGTCTGCTGAAATAAGTCCAGTAGGTGGTGCTATAGCACAGGTAAATGGTCAGAGATGAAGATGTTTGTGATGTTATTGCCTTACAGATTGAAGCAAAGACTTGTGAGTGTTTCCAAACTCTCTGTCTTTGTTTTTGCTACAGCTTGAAGTTGTTCCAAAGCTTAAGTTACATATATAGAGAAGTGTTTTTATATGAGATCGTGAATAGTTTTAGAACTCTAGTTTCATTAGTTGCTCGACTGATTACATTTCTTACACCACCTCAGAATGAAAATGTTAGCTGACAGCTGGTATCATGAACTTCTTTGCCCTCTGAGGAGAGACCTCTTCAAACATGTTACCTTATGATGCTGCATGCTCGCTGTGTTTTCACTGCACGTGTTTGCCGGGTAACGTCTTCCCCAGCCCTCCCTCTGTTTGGCAGCGGCTGCAGAGACGATCTGGAATCAGTTCCCACAGCTTCACATTTCCATAAGCAAATGTCAGGCAACATTATGACTCCCTCCTCACCTCACCCCTCCCTGTGAACACTCCCTGTCTCATGTACTCCCCCTTCCCGGTTAAGCTTTTATCTAAATATAACAAGATTTTTATTTTTTGTAGTTGTACAAATATTTTACACACACCGTTTACATGTCATCCACACAGGGGATGGGTGTGGAGAGTGACCAGGAGATAGTTCAGATGATCGGCACAGAGGAGAGTGTCATGGCCAGCTTCGCCCCGAGCCTGGAGGAGTGCCAGAAAGCGCAAATCTTCACACAGACTCAGGTATTTTATCAATCCAAGAGAACCAGAGCAGGCCGGTGTTATTTCAAGCTTAAACAAACACTCTGGTCAGTTTAGCCCCATTTACTCGATGTTAGATTGAAGCTTTAATTATCTTTGAATTTTGATTTCCAAAGACAATATACTGGTAATATAAGGGAAAAAAGTAATATTACAAAACTGAAGGAGCACTAAAAAGCACTGAAAGTACAGTGCTAATGTTTATGCTATAAAAGAACTACAGTTCTAAGGGTTATAAGACTTGAACTTCACCACCACTAACAAGAGAGATGTCGTAACATGCATGGGATGTACATCTTGGTTAAATCTGTGCTGTAGGTATGCTGTAACCGTAGACTATTCTCTCACCTTAACCTTAGCACAGACATGGTCCTAGCACCACCAAAGATGACCAATTGGTCACGTAGCCCAGAACCTCAGCCTGTTGTTTGTTCCCGGCTGGTTTTTGTAAATAAGCTCCCCACCTTCATATTTACAGATGTGACAAGTTAAAATCACCCAATAAAAATAAACTGTTGTTGAAAACGACACCTTTTCATGCACATCTAGAGTGGAAGTTAATTTTCTGACTGTTTATTAAACAGAAATGTTCCTCGTGCTCAAGTGAATGAAATCCTGATTCAAAAAACTGTTTAAAAAATAATAATTTTTGGGTGAGAGCACGTAAAAGTCAGTGTGAATTGCTTGGCATCTCTAATGTGCGATCATTAGCTGCGGATGTGTGCAGAGCAGGATGTTGTTTCTGTTTCTATTGGCTGTCTGCTGTCAGAAGGTATTTTCTTTGTCTCTTTGAGATCAGATGACGAAGGTTTTGTCTTACCAGCCAGTTAAGTAATGCTTTTCATGGGGATTTCATGAGGCCCACGTGTTTTTCTTTGACATCGACAGATGAATGCAATCGGCCAATTTGTTTTTCATAAAGATTATGTTGTTAGAGGAACCGCTGATGCATTGATGAGTCCACATTTGCTTCCTAGCAACCGGTCGCCACAGCTCTCGTGTTCCTCTGTCTGCCAGCCTCCGTGATGTCTTTTCATGGTATTCATTGGGTCATTGTATTGTGCACAATGAGGCCTAAATCTATATAATTAAAGGCAGATAAGGCTTAAGAAACATTGTTATCAGATTATGATAAATAATCTGGCAAAACCAAATTTGACTGTCATCTTCTTTTCTTTTTTTGAATCCGGACACTGTTGATTACATCTGATTTCTTTTTTTAAAATTTCTCTAAATTAAACAGATTTTTTTTTTTACCTTTACCTTAAAGAAATATTAACAATAATTATTTTTATTTTTTATGCAGTTTTGAGGGCAAGTTGGGTGGTCCATCCTTATTAACCTTTGACCTTTGCTATAATTCTGTTGAGGACTCCAGCTGGGCGCTTACTCAGGTGTGGGTGATGTGCACATTGTTCCCTTTGTGGTTCACTTGACCTACCAAGAGTCTGATACACGATTCTCCGTTCTCTGTTTAAAAATTCAGAATGTTGATCTTTTACACAAAATATCTCCTCGAGACTGTAACATTAATTTATATTAATATTTATTTATATTTGTTGTTTTGGACATTTTTGTTGGTTGGAAAATTAACTGATTCTCATGGTGCGTTCCTTGTCTGACTGACAGTTGATGTAACACATACACACAGCTTTATTAGGAACACCTGCTCAACTGCTTGTTAACACAATATGGCAACAAATCAGTGAATTTAGGTTTTTAGACTTGTTCAGAATGGCTGGCTGAAGTTCAAACTGAGGATCAGAATGGGGATGAAAGTTGATTTAAGTTCCTTTGAACATGCCATGGTTGCTGGTGCCTGATGGGCTGATCTGAGTATTTCAGAAAATGCTGATCTGCTGGGATTTCTCCACACAACCATCTGTATGTATCTGAAACAATCCAGTCAGCCGCAGTTCAAGCGGCTGACTTGAACTTCTTCAAGCTGGTAGGTAGCAGTACTCAAATAACCATTCTTTATACCTAAGGTACCAGAAGAGTATGAGTGCTGCGAACTACAGCAGCTGAAGACCACACCTACTGTCAGCCAAGAACAGGAAACTAAGGCTACAGTTCACATAAGAGTCATTAGAACTCGACAATAGAAGATTAGAAAAATGTTGCCTCATTAGGCTCTCTTCCACAGTGTGTCCTTGTCCTCCTCCTGTCTTCCTCACCCCCAAATTAGTCATGTTGGTAAAAATATTTATGTTCCTCAAAAGGTTGAATCAAATGTTGTTTGGCTGCTCTGTTTCAGGCCCTGAGGTATCTTGGGAATAAAGTGCGCAGACAGCGGATGTGGGGAGGCCCCAAGAAAACAAAGATGGAAGAGGCCAGAGAGCTGTTAGCATCTCTCATTCTCACACATGTGCCTGTATGTAAACAGAATGCTCATCACGATAACTGGCATTCACACTAAAAGGTTACTCGACAAAATGTAAAGACTGTATAACTTGTGTCCAGGTGAAAGAGTTTAACTTTCGGGCTAAGTGTATTTACCTGGCCGTGATGGTCCGGCGGGTGATCCTGGCTCAAGGGGACAACAAGGTGGATGACAGAGATTACTATGGCAACAAACGTCTTGAGCTGGCTGGACAGGTAAGCTTCTGTGCATCTGTCATCCTTGAGGTTTTAATGCACTGCCTTTATTTAATGCTGCATTCAGTTCTGTTTTTGTTCTTTGATTTTAAAACCAAATGAGCCAGAGTTCAGTTCAGACTATAAAGTTTTATTTAAATGATTATTGATTTTTTTTTTCATGTTTGTGAGCTGAAAGGTGTTTACTTCCTTTTCTTTACACATAAAACAACTAGAAACAAAACATGCCTGATGCTTATTAATACCATACGAGCAGAAACACACCAACACTCTCGTGCTTCAGTGTGAAGGGATCACAGCACTACACCAGAGGACAGCGCCGGCTCCAGGCCTGATCTCTCACCTGCACCTTTGTTCCTGCCACCTTCTTTTAATAAGACTCTCATTATTTTCCCTCAGCTTTGTTTTTCCCTGTTTTGTTTTTGAACCCCCCTCCTTTCCCCCACTAGTATTTCAGCCTGGCTTTGTCGGGAGAGAGATATGCGGTGGCACCAAAATCCTGAGGCTGTGGAAGCATGGGGATTTTTCAGCACCGTGACAATAGAAATGCTGCCTTGACTGGAGCGATTGAGCTAATCCGCAGGCCCGGCTCTGATAATGTAATTACTGCTGTCTTAAGGCCTTTAATTTCCCCCCCCCCAACCTGCTCTGTATAAGGAGCAGGAGATGGAGGGATCGAGGGAGGGGGGAGCACAGAGCCCTGTTTCAATAGGGGGCTTACATACTAACAACGCCAGCAATCTCCTCACTCTCCAATTATGGTTCCCTGACATTCAACTAATTGGCCTGGCTGCGCAATGGAAGCTTAATTTCTTTATTAATTTCAAGCAGTGCTGCCTGTTTGTTTGGATGTATGCTAATGCACAGGTTGGGTGGGGGTTGTAAGAGAAGTTGCCTCCTGTAGACCGGACAGAGGACCACAGGGACCTGGCTTACTTGTGAGCTGGCACACCTGGCTATTACATCTGGCAGTAGATGCACGTGAACTGACACTGCGTGCCAGGAGACCTGAGATTTAAAAAAGCAAACAAAAAACATCTGCATTTTTTTGCTTCTTTTTAGCTCCTGTCTCTGCTGTTTGAAGATCTCTTTAAGAAGTTTAATGCCGAATTGAAGAAAATCGCAGACCAGATCATCCCCAAGCAGAGAGCAGCTCAGTTTGATGTGGTCAAGCACATGCGGCAGGATCAGATCACCAACGGCATGGTCAATGCGATATCCACGGTGAGAAAGTCATGGCTGCTATAGCTCAGGAGGTCGTTCCATCTCAAACAACATTTTGGAAAGTTTTCTGCTCAACCGTCTGCATGTTGCATCAAAATTTTATGGTCCAAAATTTTTGCGTATATAATGAGAATTTTAGCTTCATATGTCAGACACTTTTAAGATACATAATTTTAGAAAAGGTTCATCGCTGTCAAACCTTTTTTAATGTTTATTTATTTTTATGTTTAAATATAAATAGCTGAAAACTATTAAAGATAAAATCTTGACATTTTCCAAGTTACAGATCCTCTAATTTGCCTGCATCCAAAAATGTCTGTTCATTGGCTAGTTAAAGTTTAAAGAACAAAAAATCCCATATTTGAGTATGCACTAATAAAAACAAACAATAAAAACCTTTAAATAGGCTATTAGTGATCATTTTAAAATGATATATAGTTAAATTTCACAGCACTGTAATACAAAACAAGTGTACATGAAATTCTTTGTCACAAAAATGGACCAAATTCATTTTCATTCATCTTTTATTTTGGGTTGATCAAATATTGAACATAAAAAAACTAAAATATCAGTATTAATGGTGTCCTGGTCGGCTGAGCTGTATTGCTTGCTGGCTGGACTCTCTTTAAAGTCAGTATCTGACATCAAACAGCTTGCAAAACAGTCTTGATGGATAAATAGAGCTGCAGGCCAAAAGAAACAGACGTGCAGGGGAAATGTTCATTTAACATATCAAAATGTTTATTACATTTATTAAAGATCCTTATGATAGCTAAAAAAAACAAAACAATCAAAAACTATCAGGCGTACCGACATCATCAACCGTAGTGCCTCCAATTAAGTAGAGGTTCAGTTTGTGTTCCTATGTGAGTGTTAACTTAAAATTTTCTCATGCTGTACTTGTAATAGAAGAATAAAGTGGTCACTGATCAAACAAAAATTAGAAAGCAGGAGTTACTTAGATGGAGATTTATAGATTTATATTAAAACAACATTAAGAGTGAAATCCTGCTTCCGCTTTCAGAATTTAAGCCAGAAATGTCTCTTTCTTAATTTGGAGTCATTGCATGAATTTTTGTAATATTAAAATGAAACATGCACCACTTATGAATAGTTGCTAATACTGGCACACTCTAGCTTCCATTTTTGGATGCTTATCAGTCATTAAAATGCATTAATGAGCAATAAAGTGTTGTGTACTAAGTAATATTTACTATGCAGTATGTAATTATTGGTGTTGATGTTTTCTTGCAACAGGGTAACTGGTCTCTGAAGAGATTCAAGATGGACCGTCAGGGAGTCACCCAGGTCCTGTCTCGTCTCTCCTACATTTCAGCTCTCGGCATGATGACCAGGATCTCCTCCCAGTTTGAGAAGACGAGGAAAGTCAGCGGACCGCGCTCCCTGCAGCCGTCACAGTGGGGAATGCTGTGTCCATCTGACACCCCTGAGGGCGAGGTGAGTGTGCTGCGGCAGCCACACCTGATGGCCCAGGAGGTTTCTCAAAGGCTAATATGCTGTGGCACATGTACTGCTATATATAGGAATCATGGTCAGCAATTTCTTTCTCACTTTAATGAGTTATTCTCATGTTATAACACTCCCTGTGATGGTTAGACAATGATCTACCTCTAAATGGGGATTGGAGGGGAGGTTACTGACACTGAGACTCTTAGAAAAACTCTTGTCTCTGTGTTTTTATGTATTTCCACAAGGATAATATTGGATTATATATGTGTATCTGTAGGCCTGTGGTCTGGTGAAGAACTTGGCTCTGATGACGCACATCACCACCGACATGGAGGACGGTCCCATCATCAAGCTGGCCTTCAACCTCGGGGTGGAAGATGTGAACCTGTTGTGTGGAGAGGAGCTCTCCTACCCGAGCGTGTTTCTCGTCTTCCTCAATGGTAAACCTCCTCCTCCGCAGTGGAGCCTAATTAATAAATAAACACAGAGAGAATTAACACCGGAGGCTTTTGCTTTAGATCGTTTGAAAAGAAAGTCTTAATCCTCCCTGTTTTGAATGTGTTGCTTATGAACATGAAGGGAAAAATATTCTGTTTAGTTTACAGAAGGTAATTTTGCATTTCACTGTGAGGCTGATAATTCATTCATTTCACGACAGCAGTAGGTATTATTCTTGAGTCAAAACTTGGCCCCTTAATTACTGTATATGTTTGTCTCGCCACTGATAACTGTCAAATTATATTAGCTGCCATACCATTTAATTAGTTGGTAGCAGCAGGTGTCAAAGCCCTTCAGAGTGTGTTCAGTGCAAATGTGTCCTCACACAGAGGCAGAGCACAGTGTCTCCTCTGTTCTCCAGTCATTTGTCTGTCAGACTTGATATGAACACACCCCTACAGGCAGTTAGAGCTCCGTTTCTTCCAGAGTAAGCTGCGGTGTCTTACAAATGCCGCCTTCACTCCTTCTTTGCATTTAAAGTTTGAATTTTAACCAAAATCAGCTGATGAATAATTTGTCGTGGCTTTTTTGTGTAAAAATCCCATAAATGTCCTGTTTTAGCCTCTTAGATGTCAAATGTGTCCATGTTTCTTGTTTTATATAATGGAGCTTCAGACAGGTGTTTATTGTACTGTGGCCATTGTTATATGGTTTACTATTCTTTGGCATTTTACTGATAATTTGACTAACTGAGAAAACAACTGGTAAATTATTGGATAAGCAAAATCCATGTGTTTATTAATGTGAACTCTAAATGTTAAACAAATGTGATGCAGCAGGTTAAACAGCTTCACACACAAACAACCAAGCAGTGATGCAATCAAGAACAATCCTACTGTCCCTAATGTGAACTGCAATATCTGTCAAAACTATGTCAAAAGATGTTGTTATTGAACAGTCTCTAATGCATAAACTACATTTAACAGTGCACTCTTTTTAGCGGGTTTACATCCAGCAAACATCTCTGCTGTGAGGGCAAAACCTTCACTCATCACAGCCACACACCTACAGACGCTACCTGGCTCGTCAGAGAGTGAAATGTAGCTCCTCAATGATGCTGGCAACTTTTCTGTCTCTACGCTGTGACAATAGTGTTGTATGCATTGTGATCCATCAGATGTTTTCAACATTGACAAACGTGCTACAAGTGACTGTGACATGAATTTGAAATAATGAAGTGAAAAAGTCACATAAAGTAATCAAAGGAAGATCAATATAATGTGTTCTTCTTATCAAAGGGTTTTGTAACATCAATAAATTAAAAAAATTGGTCTTAGCCTGTTTTGGCGTGCTGTATCACAATTGCGTAACAATTGTTTGGTTGCTCTTAAAGATTACTGAATACGCAAAGTCAGAATGTGTTTAGCTCAGCACATCAGTCTTCTAACCCAAAAATATGTTTAATATTTAATGTCTATCCTCTTTATCTGTATCATGTCCACAGGTAACATCCTCGGTGTGATCCGAGACCATCAGAAGCTGATCAACACTTTCAGGTTGATGCGCAGGGCGGGTTTCATCAATGAGTTTGTGTCCATTTCCACAAACCTGAGCGACCGCTGCGTCTACATCTCATCTGATGGAGGACGACTCTGCAGGTGCGGAAGTTTAGAAAAAATAGCATAATGTGGAAATAAATGTTTGCTGAAGATCGTTACACACCAGTGTGTTTGCTTAGCGTAACATTGAGTTCTTTAGTTGTAAGAATGTTTTTCACACAGCTTTGTTTTGTTGTGTTTCCCTCTGCAGACCATACATCATCGTAAAGAAGGGAGTTCCAATGGTGAAAAACAAGCACATCGAAGACCTGTCTCAGGGCTACAGGTGAGGGTAGGAGTGCAGAGAGTGACTGCTGTTATTAAAGAAGCAGCTCTTTAAGTTACTGTTTTGTTTTTTAAACTCGCCACTTTGGCTTATTTGCTAACTTAATAAACATCAATTATACAACTACTTGAAAAACAAAAGCCACTGGTTAGTATCGTGCATATTTGTGAAATTATGAGTGTATCCTCACACCACAATCACACCATACAGGCACTTCCCAAACAGTAGATTTTTATTAATAGTTTCTGTACTTTACTTCAGAACTTTTGAGGATTTCCTACATGAAGGCCTGGTGGAGTATCTGGATGTCAACGAGGAGAACGACTGTCAGATCGCCCTTTATGAATACATGATTAACAAGTCAGTGGCACATGATAAGCTGATTTCAGTAAAATGAAAAGATCATTCAGGTTTATGTCAAGTAAGTTATACCTGTTTTTTTGGGTTTTTTTTAAACCTCTCTAGAGACACAACACACTTGGAGATCGAGCCCTTCACACTGCTCGGGGTGTGTGCCGGCCTCATTCCCTACCCCCACCACAACCAGTCACCCAGGAACACATACCAGTGTGCTATGGGCAAGCAGGCAATGGGTAAGAGTGGGCTGAGCAGCTAGCACACAGGTCATCAAACTGCAAGGATCTCGAATCCTTTCTCAAACATCCTCCCCACAGCTGCATGTGCACACACAAACACGGCCTCTTACAGTAATTTAATCTTACATGAACACATGAACAGTGTTCCTAAGCCTCCTAAATCTGCCGGTTCAGAGTTTGCACTTTTATTTGCACAAGTTAAAATCATACAAAAGGGCATTAGAATAACAAATGGTATAGATACAAGCAGCCTGCTGGTTCGTCTCCCCCAAAACTCCACTCCTGCACCACTTCTTGTCAGAATGCATTTGTATGTGTGATTAAGTGTCTCATGTGTGTGTGTGAGTGTGTGAGCATGAACATCAAACATGGGGAGCTTGCGTAGGTTTTCTTTTGTGCTGTGTGTGCAGAGGCCCTTTCCCTGCCAGTCACCCAGAGTGTCATTAGCAATTCATTGTGTCTGCTCTGGCTGTGCTCGGGGGGTCAGTGTGCTCAGCTGCAAAAGACCACTGAGTGTGCACCCGGAGCTCCTTGGTAACCAGAACTTCCCCAAACGGCCCTGCTAACATTCATAAGGACTGCGGTCGCCCCCACCCCTCCACTTTACCTTCATCCGTTCCTTCCTCCCCGCCCTCCCAGTCTTTACAAAAACACTGACTGGAACTATATTTGGCCCAATATTCTCTGCCTTGTCTATTTTGTATGGACGGCTCTCATACATGTGCAAATCTGGCTGTGTGGCCCGGCCCTGTTATCACACGCAGTTTAATTGTGAAGCAGTATCATCTGACAAGTGTCAAAACCACACGGAGGCCAGACTTTAGGCCATAATATAAGAGAGGTCTAATCAGGAGGAAGTAACATCTATAATCCTCTAAAAATGGATTTATTGACAATTTTATATATTTTCTTATAGATGCCCTAAATCACTAGATTACAGACACACAGTGAGTTACATATAAGTTTTTATTAAAAATTCAGTTCTTTTTTTTAAAATTCGTGATTCTTCTCTCCAGGGACTATCGGCTACAACCAGAGAAACCGCATCGACACCCTGATGTACCTGCTGGCCTATCCTCAAAGGCCGATGGTCAAAACAAAAACCATTGAGCTGATTGATTTTGAGAAGCTGCCGGCTGGTCAGAACGCCACCGTGGCTGTGATGAGCTACAGTGGCTATGATATTGAGGACGCTCTGGTCCTCAACAAAGCCTCACTGGACAGAGGTGTGAGATCTGTCCAACTTAAAGAATTGCATAGTCGTTTTTAAGCAACAAAATACCAGAATAGGAGGTAGAAAATCTAATGTAACAGTAAATGTGTCTCCAAACAGGATTTGGACGGTGCCTTGTCTACAAAAATACAAAATGCATACTGCGGCGTTACACCAATCAGACTTTCGACAAGGTGATGGGCCCCATGTTGGATGCTGCAACACGAAAACCCATCTGGAGGCACAGCATCCTGGATGCTGATGGTATCTGCTCCCCTGGTGAGTACCAGCAGGACTGGAGCAAATCCAGCATGGTTCGCTGCTCCTTAACAGCCTCTTCTGTGGCATTCATTTTATGAGCATTATCTGTGTCATTAATAGTGGTCAGGAGTTTGTTTTTACTGATGTTTCACTCAGAGAGAAGTGAAGCCTATTTTGCAATATTTACACACACACCACTTCTTACATATCTCCATAGTTTTTCATCGATTGGAACAGTTAGAAATGTGTTATCAATATTATTAGTATGAAGAAGAAGAAAATAGGATCATACAGTACAAGTGTGGATTAATCAGGCATCTCACGTATGCCTGATTACAAGCCAGTCCATTTCATGCATGCACAGTAGCGCAGGAAAATAGTTGCTCACACACTCGCTGTGGCCATTATTGAGCTCTTCACTGTGAGTGAACACACAGTTCCCAGAGTAAATCCTGGTGGAACCACCACAAAATCGTTTTTTACAACAAACCAAATCTGGCACCTAAATCACCCTCACCAAGCTCAATATGGACATTTTAAAGGAGTTAACAAAGAGAAAGTGCCTAAAGCTGAAGCTGTCCAGAGCTTATAGCCGGCCTGCAGCCATGAGATGCATTGTAAGCCTCGGTATGAGCAAAGTATCAAAGCAGTTACAAAAAAAATTGTAGAGACGAGTGAAAAGAAACGAAGGTCCTGTTGTCTGGTGACATTATAAACATGCTGAAAAATGATGTAAGTAACTGACGTTTGTTTTGTAATGTAAATCTGTTGCATCTGCTTTTGTTTCGTTATTATGTAAAGGTGGGTGTACAGAAACTTATTTTCAATTAATCATTTGTACCTCATGTGGCAGACCCCTTTAAAAGCATCCTGTGACTTACTGCTTTTATTATGAAAATAATATTTAAGATTCAAAAAGTTGATTTTTGTTTGTATATCCTGTATTAGCAACAGAGCCCAACTTATATAAAGCTCCTATTTGCTGATATATTAATTTTCATTTGTCAGGCAATAAATTAACAGTAAAGAAGAAACAGAAAAAAACACCCTTCAACCATGTTATCGGTGTTGACTTTGCATAGTTTGTCCACTAGAGGGCACTCTGCTACTTCCCTGTTGGCAACATGCTACAAACAAAACAGCCAGTTGATCTGAGCAGAGTCAGATGGATAATGAATAAGTAAAACAAACTTATTTTTAAACCTGCATTGTAACATTATGTGAGTAAGGACACATAAGTTACTGCACATAACAAGTATGAGTATTGCTATCTGATTTTTAAGTCTGCAAATTTCAGTATCAATTCCAGTATTGGTCGGGCTCTAGCGTGCGGATCGCTTCTCAGTCGGATCCACTCCTCGTTCATCATATTTAGTTTTAAAAAAATAGCGCAGGAGACCACAAACCTTGGGGGGGGCATGGACATCAAAGAGCTTGTTTCTATCTTTCATATACAGTTTATGGTTTTAGTAGCGATTCAAAGTCATTACCAGAACAGTAGAGACATTTTTGAAGAAAGCAGATGTAAACAAAGCTAGCAAAAACAAAACAGGTAACAAGCAATTTAAAACTGTGTTAAATACAGTTTTAAATTGAGAGCCCACATGTGTGAGCTCAAATAAGTCTGAAAACAAACTTATTTGTTTTCGTTCTTTTGCTTTTGGTCAAAGATTTGACGTTAGCACAAGTTAAAGAGAACTTAATGGCCTTTAGTCTATGTAGGCCAGTCTGTCTAAGACTCTTTGATGTGTTTTGTGTGCTTCAGGTGAGAGAGTGGAGAACAAGCAGGTGCTGGTGAACAAATCTATGCCGACTGTCACGCAGACACCACTGGAGGGCAGTACCCAGCCAGGCCAGCCCCAGTACAGAGACGTGCCCATCAGGTGAGTCAGCTCCCAGCACCACGCCCACACACATCACTGTGGAACTATTTTTTTCAGCTCTTACATCTATGTAGAGGGAAAAACGGGACTCAGTTTGAATTCTCTTGTTTTCAGTTATAAGGGGTCAACGGACTCGTACATTGAAAAGGTCTTGATCTCGTCCAATGCTGAAGACGCCTTCCTCATCAAGATCCTCCTGAGGCAGACCAGGAGACCTGAAATAGGCGACAAATTCAGCAGTCGACACGGACAGAAAGGTGCCGACCCCATGACAGCCACAATGCCTGCTCTGTGAGACCAGAGCCTAAAGATTTTGAGCTCAAAGCTGGAGGGAGAGTACAGAGGGTTAGGGTTTTCAACCTGTTGTGAGAGATTTGTAAATGCCTGGACAAAAAGAGGAAAATCTTTCACTGTGCTTGAGCATTTGTTGAGTCAAGTCCCACTAGCTGCTGTTCTGTCACTGCCCCCCTGTTCTCATCTTTCAAGAGCCTTTTCAATTAATTGGCTCTTTGTCCTGTGCCAGACTATGCAAATTTATTACACCCCAGCAGTATTCTGGTGCTACTGGGGGGAAAAAAGTGTTTATAGCCTCTATTGTTTTGCAGCGCCTCCCCTATAGAGGGCTAGTATGATGTTTTAATCAAAAAGCTAACTGGCGCCATGCATAATTTACTCTCTTCATTAACATGGTGGGCACTGGGCGGTCAGCTCGGGATGGGACAATGTCTTCTGTCTCAGATAGTGACAAGGAGAGAGGTCAGTGTGGGGTTAGCTGGAGGAGTTTTGGATGGAGACACCCAGATGTGCAGCTGATGTGGAGCTAGTTTTAATCACAATTGCCTCAAAGAGGAAAAGTAAACCTTTTTATCTACATTTTTGCTTCACTGTGGTCATCTCTCTGTAAAAACAACCATTTATTTCTTCTCTGATGAGTAATTTGAAAGGAACAAACTCATTATTTCTTCATCAGTATATAAAAGTGTTTAATTAGAAGTGAATTTGGCTGCAGTGATGGATCTCCCAGCTTCTCATGACTACTCTCATAAGTCCTGGTCAGCAGAGCAGAATAAGTTAATTATTTACCGGTCACACACACATACACAGCTGTGTAGGTGGGGGAGGCGGCGGACGGGCTGTTAGTAGTAGGGGCCTATTGTGTGAGCCGCCACTGTGGAGCTGTATGAGCTGTGATGGAGGGCTCTGGACCCTTGCTGTTGTCTTGCCTTTCTCTGCTGATTTCATGCCTCTTTTATCATTTACTTTCACACAAAACAAACAACACCCAAGGATGTCTGCTGTTGGTAGTGTCTCTGTGGTGCTTTCCACCGTTTTCCAACTTCATTCTTCCTCTTCTCACTCCTCTTTTGGAGTACTTTTAACCTGATAATCAGCCTTTTTCTTAATGCCTTTTCTCTCTTTATACTTTCTTCTGGCCCTGCCTTACCCGCCTTTTCTCTTTTCTTTTCACCTTCTTCCTGCCGTTGGATGACTTTCCTGTTAATCGCCGTACTTGTTCCTAGTCAACATCCTGTTGCAACATCCTGTAAGGCATCAGCAGTCAGCTGCGTCGCTGACTGGTCGGCTAATAGTGAATTTTTCCCACGTGCACTGATTCGTTTTCTCCTCTCGAGTTGATCCCCTCCACTTCCTCTGACTTGAACTGAAAATCATGGGTGTGTAATCCCAGTCTCCCTGTCCAGCTAAGCACCTTTCTCCACTTCCTGCTCTCCTTCACTTCACTCCTTTTTCCTTTTTTTCTTCGTTTTTTTCATTTGCAAATGGACCTACAATCTGTTTACCATGGCCAAGGAAGAGTGCTTCGGCCCCTCAGTAAACATTTGCACTCACACTTAAACTCCTGGCTACCAGGGGTGCTTGTCCCCCCACATCATGCGAGTCAAAAGAGGTCCCTGTCTGTCCACATGAGTATGGAAATGTCATGCTCTGCCAGTGGTCCACACAGAGCCCCCACAGCACAAACACTATTAAGTTTGCTGAACTGGTGCTTGCAGTTAAGTCAGAAAGTCAGATTTTTTTGTCCTTAAAACCAGATTAAAACTGCAGCCTACTTTTAAAACTTATCACTTTTATTTAACATTTTCTATTCAAAATATTATAAAAAGCCTATTACACATTCTGTGCAGCCAAAGTGATGTGTTAACACTAGGGATGGGTACCGGTGTCGGTTCTGACATAAACGGTAGTAACCAGACCGAAAAGCAGCGCACATTTCGGTGCTTTTTTTTCCTGAGCTGTGATACACTTCTAGCCAATCATTTTACGTTTCCGAGGATAGTAGGCGGGTCCAGGTACGTGCGTTCTTTTAGAGCAGAGCTACAGATTAAAAATGTCCAAGGCGAAGCGGTCAAAAGTCTGGCTGTACTTCACAGCAAAAGATGCAAACTCAGCAGCCTGCAACAAGTGCTTTAAGCTGATACTGTGATACTGTCAAAGGAGGTAACACCTCAAATCCGATGAAACACCTGGTGACGCATAGCGTTTTTTTTTTTTTTTTTTTTTAAAGCCCAGAAATGCGCCGTATTTGATAGCTTGCTGTGAGACCTCACACCGTGCACATCTACTGCGGGTGTGGTGCCTGTTATCGGACCCGGATTTAGCAACACCCCCAAAAACCCGAAGAATAGAGTCCTGGCCCCTAGCCCTGCCAGTGTAGCAGAAATGATGAGGATGATGATGCAGCAGCAGCCGTTCTTCTCTGCGTGAGTAGCTAATTTACGTTGAGTAGGCTAACCACGTTATTACATTAATGCATGTAAGGTGAACTAGCAAACATCATCATAGCTACATGCGGCTGTCTTCTTGTTTGATGGCAGATACTCCCTTCACCCTGGCCAAAAAGGCTAAAAAGACCAAAGAAAAAGTGGAAAACAGTTAAACATGAGAGGTTTTTGGACAAAGTTTGTGTTTTTTCCATTGTTTAAGCACTGCTTCCAACCAAGAGTGATACCATATATGCCACATAGCTGCAGAAAAGGCTAACATTGTTATCTTTTTACAAAAAAACAGCTGAACATGAGAGGTTTTTGGACCAATTTTGTGTTCTCCATTCTTTAAGCACCGGTTTGAGCACCGTTTGAGCACCGGCACCGTTTCAAAAGTACCGATTTGGCACCAGTATCGGATAAAACCTAAACGATACCCATCCCTAGTTAACACTGCTGTAAAGTTAAAGTACAGCCTCGGATCCTCACATGTGGGAAGCTGATTGGTTTTCTCTTTGCCATATGTGTGCATTAATGTTTTTTGTGTGTGTGTTTGTGTGTTTCAGGTGTTTGTGGCCTCATCGTCCCACAGGAGGACATGCCGTTCTGTGACACAGGGATCTGTCCAGATATCATCATGAACCCTCATGGATATCCCTCCAGAATGACGGTGCGACACTTCACAGCTGTGGAAACTCAAATTCTGCAACATTTTTCTCTGTTGATTCATATGCCAAGTATTTTTTGCATTTTTTTCCATTGTTTTGTTCAGAAATAAACCAAAGGGGAAGAAATTTAAAAAATTAAACAGTAAACAACCATAATGTCAAAAAACGGTGTGAAATATAATCTGCAGATAACGAAACGTTTGCTAAACAGTTGATTAAACGATTATTTTCTCAAAAGTTGTAAAAGACCCCAAAGGCAAAAAAGTGATACCTTTAAACATCTTGGAAGATCCAATCATTAATGATCAACCCATTCGCTGGAGCTAGAACTTATAATATATTATTCATGGTATTTTTAGGGCTATTAATTCATCACTGGCTTTGTCATTTCTGCTCCGATGTTGTAACATTTGTCAGGGAGGTTAAGTTTTCTTTTCTCTTGGTGAAAAGCTGGTTATTTGCCGTCTAATTTGAGGACGTGCTTCTGGTTTTTATTTGTGGGTTGTTGTTTTTTTTGTTTTTGTTCTTTTTGCTACGACTGGAGTCTGAGTCACGTAGGATGCTGTGGCTGTCGCTCTTTATAGGTTTGTGCCGGCTCTCCTGAGACAAAACCCTCATTATCCCCACTCCTCTTCTCTCTGGGTTATCATTGGCTTCCAGAGCACACGTCCATTGACGCCGTTAAGCAGCAATCTCACTGTTCACAAACAGATATTTGTTGCTGCGGAGACAGCTGCCAGTGAGGCCACCGCCTGTAGCGGTGTGTGTGGAAGTTTTATAAAACGTGGCCAGTACATGTGAACTGTAGGATGGTGATGAATGTGAATGACATGAGACTTGGCTCTGTTTCATACACTGTAAAAACCTGAATGATCTTTACTGCTGCTCACTCTGGTTTCCATGGAAAAGGCTCAGAAATGCTTGGCTCCAGAGGATGTTTCTGTGGCCTGGGAGTGATATGAGAGTAGGTGTTTCCCTTTGTGTGTCGGGGTCAGGGGTCCTCTGAGTGCGATCTTAGTGGAATTGTTGAACTCAGCCATCCTTGGACTGCTGTCACCAACCCTGAGGAGTACATGTGTAATCTAATCTCACCCTTAATATACACATTTAGTGCCAGGAGAGGATGTAAAGCACAAAAAGATTTGTGTAATGAACAGAGCTGCTGTTCTTTTCCTGAACTTCGTCAGGTGGGAAAGTTGATTGAACTCCTGGCTGGGAAGGCGGGGGTCCTGGATGGGCGCTTCCACTATGGCACAGCCTTCGGAGGCAGCAAGGTGAAGGATGTGTGTGAGGATCTCATCCGTTATGGATACAACTACCAGGGCAAAGACTACGTCACTTCAGGCATCACTGGGTAATTAATAGAGGATGTTTTAGGTTAATAGCCACACACAACACAATGCTGCTACACAAGTGTTTGCATTGCTACTCATGACTGTTTACAAGTCTTATTTCTCTTAATGCTGTGAAAAATTTCTCAGAGTGATGTTAACATTTTCTCACCACAATATTAGTTCTTAAACAGTAGCTTGAATGTTTTCATTATGCAGAAATTGCATATTGGCATAGTGGCCACGTTAGTGCCTGTCCATCCGGCACCAGCTGTATACAAACAGTACATTTAATTTCTGTGTAAAATCTGCCGTCTGAAGGCAAGGATCATGTGTACAAATCTTTCATCGGTAATATTTCTTTTATTCAAATTTATGGACCAGCAGTCCAAAAAGAAGGCAGATTTTTGTTGGAATCATCTCATGCTCTGCTTATCCACTATTTTATTACAAAAAATCATAGATTTTATATGCTTATGTAATGTATGTGTTAGCCTGATGTGCACACAATTCCTGACCCCTGCTTTTCCCTCAGAGAACCTCTGGAGGCTTATATCTACTTTGGACCTGTGTATTACCAGAAACTGAAGCACATGGTTCTTGACAAGATGCACGCCAGAGCCCGAGGCCCCAGAGCCGTTCTCACCAGGTAGTTTCTCATCTGTGGTGACGTTGAGATTCGATTAGTGCCTATAAGTGTTGAATTAAATTCTCCGTATCCAACTGTCCTGATAACAGGCAGCCCACGGAGGGTCGCTCCAGAGATGGAGGTCTGCGTTTGGGTGAGATGGAACGTGACTGTCTGATCGGCTACGGAGCGAGCATGTTGCTCCTGGAGCGCCTCATGATTTCCAGCGACGCTTTCGAGGTGGACGTGTGTGGGCAGTGCGGGCTGTTGGGATACTCTGGGTGGTAAGCTGTTTCTGCTGGTGAAACATGTTAGGGGGCATCACAAGATCTGGTGCACATTGATACGAACTGAAAGAAGGGGAAATATTTAAGTTTACACAGTGACTAAAAAAGCTTGGTAGCTGTGTAATCCGGGTGGTCCATAAACGTCTGTTCTGTTTCCGTGTTTCAGGTGTCATTACTGTAAGTCGTCCTGCCACGTCTCCTCCCTGCGTATCCCCTACGCCTGCAAACTCCTCTTCCAGGAGCTGCAGTCCATGAATATCATCCCTCGACTCAAGCTGTCGCGCTACAACGAGTGAGCGGGACAGAGACGGGACGTGTGAGTCACAGGTTTAGAGCAAGAGTTATAAGTTGATTTGTGAATGTTTGATCGAGCGACAAACAAGCAGAAAGAAGCTGAAACAGGACTATTTTTGTTGTTGGTTAAAATCTGAAAACTTTTTTCCTGTTTCTTTTTTTTAATGTTTCTTTTTTCTCTGTTTGTGTACATAATAAATAAGTTGATGTTTTTTCTTTAACTTTGACTTCTTTCATTACAAATATCAAAAGGTTGCCCTTTGAGGGCAAAATCTCCAGGATGTCACCAACTTTAAATTGTTTCTCTTGAAACATGTTTTGACCGCAAGATCTTTTGAACATCCTGACCTGGGTCATATTTCCCCACTTTTTTTTTTTCTGTCTGCTTTTCTCCTGTCTAATAAATGTTAAGTAGGATTTTGAAGCTGGAAACTTTGAGATCGGCTGTAGCAGTGCAGTGTGAAGAAAACATACCCTAGAGTCAAAGAGGTCCCATAATAACTTCTTTTCAGTAGATTCACTCTTCACTGCTGATTTAATCACTTAAATTCAAAAAGATAAAAGCAGGTGCGTGCAGCTACATGCCAGATATCCAACCCAAGGACGCTATAAAGCTAAATGGTAGAATTAAGTGAGTGAATCTAATCAGTATCGTCACCTTAAATATAAACTGATCTTTGTTACCCACGAACAGTGTCCTGTATGGCTGTAAACTTTGTCACTTACTGCAAATTAACCAGTGTAACCTGCCCCAGCGTTTTCATGCAACCTTTGAATAACATGAAATTAGCACACGCATTTGTTTTTCAAGGTCTTTCTCAAAGATATCATTCAAAAGCACATCATGTATAGATCCACTATCAGATAAATATACGAAATAATAGGACAGTACATTTGAGATTTAGTTTTCTAGTGTATAAAATATCAGCAGTCGTCCCCTTTGTGCTAACTTCTTTCTCGAGTCTTTCTCTACATTTCTTGACACCAGTTTAGTTCAGAAACAGTTTCTGTGTTTTCTGATATTTGCTGAGCCGTTTGAAAAGTATTTGACCCAACACGTAAAAAAGCATTACTTCTCTAATGCTGAATTACTGTGACTGCAACTTTACACCTGCACCGTGAACACATGATGTGTGTGTGTAAGGGGGCCATGGGATGTCATTGTTTTTTATTACCTGAATTAACAAATTCTGTTGTGTTATGCTTTAACCTGCCTTAACTTTAAAATTAATTAACTAGGAATCAACTAAAACTAGATGTGAAAACATTTTAGTTACCTAAAATAAAAAACTTAGTTATTTGTTTTTCAAAACTTTAATGAAACAATGTTGTGAAATTAGGAGATTAACTGAAAAAAAACCCCAAAACAACAAATTTAGATGACAATTTTGTATATGTTAGATTTATTCTCACAGCTTGTCTGATGAGGCTTTGATGGATGTATTTATTGAGGCTTCAGATGTCTACAACACTGTGAGACTTTTTTTCCGTAAATCTTACCTCTGGTATATGTCATAAATACGATACTTAGGACAAAAACTACCCTGAAAATAATTTTTAATAACTGCTTATTTTTAGTTGTAAACAATAAAATCTGAACTGAAATGAGCAAACCCGCTCAGGAAACGAAATCAAACTAAACTGGATTAAAATGAAAAACACAATTAAAAACTCCTTAGAAAATTCAAAGTAATAATAATAATGTTATTATAAAGTTGCTCTGTGGGAATCGTACTGAGTCTGAGAATTACCTGCCCAGGTGGCGGCCATGCAAACTCAAAACACATTAAAAATGCAACAACAAAAAATACAACGTCAGTAACATGTTATACTATACACAAACACCCTTACCTAGTGTTGCTTTAAAGATAAAGAAAGGGCTGTTTTCTGCAAGTGGTGACCACCATCCTGTCAAATCATAAAGAATCTGTAATAAAACAGAGAGATGCCTGAAATAAAAGTGAATGCACTGCATCACTGTAAATAATGTTTTCGTTATGAATTTAACCCAAGAAGTAATGAAAACAAAATAGTGTGCATTTAACACTTTGTGCATTTATACTGAGGTGTGTTGTCAAGTCTTTTTTTTTATTTGGGAAGGAGTTAAAGTACAATTTTAAGACATGTATTAACCTTTTAGAATTTACAGGTGTGAATAGTGATTACTCACAAAGCATCAGCTGATGCTTGTGTTAGTTAAACGTATAAATGAGAATCAGAGCACAGTTTTATAGTTATCAATGCAGAAATCCTGATGATTTAAAGCCTTTTCGTAGAAAGAGCAAATAGTTTGTGCTCTGATATCAGTGCATCTTTATGCAGCTGATACACGCACAGAAAATGAGCATTCAAATGTTCTAGAATTCATCTCATGGAACAATAAGTATCTTTTTATTATTATATATAATCAGCAGTGTACAGTTAATTTTTTTTACATTTTTAACTGATTTTTGGAAGATTAATTTTGTTTGATCACAATCAAAAACACGAGTGACTGAAGTCTCTCGGTAGAGAGAGCAGGATGTCTCCTGTTTGAATTCAATACGAGTGGACAGCTGGATGCTCGATGCAGCAGCTTTGTTGACGTTACCAGGGAGAGAGCAGCTTTAAGTCATATGATTTCCTCTTTAAAGTGAAGCCCTAATGCCACCAACTTGTCGTATGTGGCGTAACCACATACCCCCTACTCCCACGTGCACACACAACTCTATTGGGGCCTTTTCACTAAACAAAGCAGAGCACATCCGTTTGTGCGGGCAGAGTGTGTGAGAATGGGATTGGTGGAAAAGGGCTCTTTTTTAGTGGCTGCACCTGTCCTATTTTACGAGGCACTAATAAGCAGATAACAGTCACTAGGCTGGGAAAAAATGAGTGAGAGCCATTGAAATTAGGCTGAAATTAATTAGGTCCTCCTCTGAAGTCCTGACTTTGTGGGCCAGCATCTAGAGCTTTGAGAGTTGAGTCAAAAATTAGATTTCCCTGACCTTTCACCCAATCCAGCAGCTCTTTCCTTCCTGTTTGAGCCCGATTTGATGCTCACCCCTGTCCTAACTAAGCGTGGCCCTGTGTCCGTCACCCTGTCCTGTGCGTCGCTGAGTGTCAGCAGTGGTGTCCACGCCTGCGCACTGCGAGTGAAAGTCCTTCTTTGCGCTCCATGGTGTGGTGAGTAATTCAGCCATAATCCGCCTTTCTCCTCTCCCCTCTTCTTTCCCCTCTCCTCTCCCCCTCTCCTGCGGTTCCATTCATATTCTAATCACAGCTTTCCCTTCTCCAGCTCTCAGGCACTCCATCAGAGCCCTCCCAGCCTCGGGTTTTGCACTTTTACTTCCCCCCCTTTGTGACCGTTCCCTCTTCTCAGAGGCATACCAAAAATAAGGTTGCAAAAAAAAAAGAGGTGAGAACTCCACCAAAACATTCACACTGGTGCAGTTTCATCATGTATGGATGTGTGTTGCGCCGCAGCTCTGGAAAAGTTACCACAATAGTGCTTTGGGTGGTTTGAATGAGGAGTGAGGAGCAGCACAAATGCAGGCAACAAGTGTGTGAGGGATGTGAAGTGGGAGTTAAAACCAGAAGGAAAGGCAAGAGTGGTGGTTGTGTAGAGATGTATGTTTATTCGGAGCTCGGGGGTGTATAAAAACGTATTAAATGCCATAATGGAAGACGGGGAGGCCACAGTGTTAGGACTGCGTAGATCTAAGCCTCTTTTTTTTTTTTTCTTTCTTTTTTTTTTCGTTGGGAGGGAGCTTTTCTTATTCAAAACAGCCCCACAAAAGACTTCCAGTGAGCCTTGCCACATCCCCATCTGACTTGGGGCCATTCATCAGCCTTCCAAGCCTATCAATGACATGTCCCCATCAGGGCTCCTATAAAATCAGCCCCTTTCCCATGAAACATCAGCAAACATTTTGACGGGTCTGGCTTTCCCCCCGCTGGATTTCTGGAGTCTCTACCCCCCCGCCCCACACCCTCACCCCCTTCCTTTCCACCCTCATTCCCACCTCCCCTCCTCTCCTCCGCCAACACCACCCCTCTCTTGGGCGAACCTCAGATCCTCAACATCTCCTGTGACGGGCAGCGGTCACGGAAACACAGAGCTAGACGAGGGGAGAGCCACTGAGGAGGGAGAAACGTGCGCTAAGCCATTTTCTTGGAGGAGTCAGTGTCGTTGATGGGAAGAGGATGCATTGCGGGCTGCTGGAGGAGCCTGACATGGATTCCACAGGTCAGTCCTGTTAAACTCTGCCTGCCTTGGATATGTTGAGGAAACCCAGCTTCTATTCACATTGTATGAGTTTTCTGCTGCGCTTATGCAAGTCTGGAACTTTCTCTGCAGGCATTCGGGTGAACTGTCCGGATGCTCATTAGCTTTTTAAATTTCTGAAATTACTTACGAGGGAGTGTTTTCGGTCACACTCGCTTACGGGAAGATGCAGGAGACACTTGATTAGAGAAAAGCAGGAAATGGACCTTCAGTCTCCATAATTGGTTTCTTGCTGTTATTTTTTTAAAGTCAAACTAGAGAACTTGTAATTATGAGAGCAGCATTTAAAAACACAAGTGTACATCACAGTGCACCTGCTTTTTAAAAAGGTTATTTACTAGGTACAAAACTGCTAAAGCAAGACATTTTTTCAGCTTTGAAACAGGTTTTTACTAAGAATTTATCACCAAATTTTCTTATGGTAAGAAACTGAGTTTCTTATGGTAAAACTGAGTCCTCTCTGCAACGTTAATGACAAATCTAATTATACACACTTTCAGGCAATTTGGTTTGTTTTTTTTATGTGAGTCCTTAATTGTCATTTAGCATAGTTTTCAGGATGATGCAGTTTAGTCCCAAATGTGTGCTCATAAATGAGTGAACATCCATTTTCACTTGTTGATCAAATTTAATCCAATTATTTAGATCCCCAACTTATCTGTTCTTGTGGCAAATGAAGCTTGAGATCCGAGCCTCTGTGGAGAATTAGCTCCACTTCAGAAGATTCTCTTTTTCATTTCCAGGGTTTTTTTTTAAGCTAGAGAAAGAAGCCAGTGCAGACGGGAACTGATGAGACACGATGAGGACCTGGAAATGATGTAATTTCTGTGTGATGCTATTTACCATCTGTCAGTGCTACAGTGTTATAACACTGTTAAAGAGTAAGCTATAAATATTTACGTACCAAAAAATCTTTCTCCTCTGGAGTTTTTAGTTGTTTTTTTTTCTAGACAGGATTTTAAGAGCAGTCACTCCTTTTTTTTTTTTTTTTTTTCCTCTAGACAGGACGTGCTGAAGATTGAAGTATCCACTCTTCATCGAATCTTAACTTTTAAAAGTTTTTATTATCTTCCTCGATGCCGTGCTCAGACAGCACCAGCAGCTGGTGCTGTGAATGTTGTCACTTGCAAATGAAAAAAGGTTCAATAACTTTAATGTGGAAGGATTTCCATTTGTTGCAGAGCCTAAAAGTTTGGTTTAGTTTTGCATAAATATGTTGGTGACTTTTTCCTGATCACATCTTCGTTTTTATGCTTATAATTCAGATTCTCTGTTTACGACATGCAGTTTAGCTCTAAACTTCCTGGTAGAGAAAAAGCTGTAGCTTAAAATCCAAGCAATTTTTACACCGAATTAAAGTAAAAGAATTTTGTGAATGCCTCTCATAAAAATAGTTAAAGAATTCGATTTTTTTCCACTCTACTCGGCTGTTTCTATATGAAAGCCTTGGTGTTTTGCTGCTGCTCGCTCACAGAAAGCACACCAGTTGAGCTATTTCTAAGTAGAAATTAAAACAGGACAATGGCTTCTATTCCCCCAGACTGCTTCAGTAATGTGCACAGGCTCTTTTAAGCAAGTGTGTATGCTCGTAGTCTCCTGAGAACAATGCTGGATTCCTGCCGTCCTGGTGAAAACATGTCAAATAGAGCCAGGGCTGCGCTGCTGCCCATACAATCGATTGTTGTCAGCTCACCCTGTCACATTAGCGACATTTAAAGTGTCCTGTATAGCCAGTGATTTGCAGTGTTTATGCAAATACAGCTTTGGCTCTGTTCCACTGCAGGATGACATTAGTCACTTCACAAAAAGGGATTTTTAAATATGTGGGTTTTCTTTAGTTAAATTAAAAGTTAATTTAAAAAACAAAGAACAAAACTGAATGAAAATGTAAACTAAACATTTTTTTAAAACTTATTTGTCATTTTTTAATTTTTTAAAGTCATTTCTAAGAGCTGATCTTTGGTCTTTTTTATAGAGAGCTGGATTGAAAGATGCCTTAATGAGAGTGAGAGTAAGCGATACTCCAGCCACACGTCTCTGGGGAACATGTCCAATGATGAACGTAAGCAGGACCGACTGTACTTGCACTGAATCCTCTGTCTGCACGTAGCTTTTAAACCTCAGAAAATGTCATTTAGCCAGAGAAGAAATGATAAGTGTATGTTTGTGCCACACTTCTGTCATTTTGCTGTAATTACTTAATTAAGCCCTACGTGTGCTGTTTATTCCAGATGAAGAAAAAGAAAATAACAGAGCCTCGAAACCACATTCGACACCGGCTACGCTGGAATGGTAAGTTATTAAAAAAATTTTTCTTTTATCATTTAAAGAGAAAAGCTGCAACATGTCAAAACACAACAGCCTATTTAAAATATTAAATATATTCTCAAATTAATGTAAAACTGATGTAACCAGTCCTTTAAATCAACCACTCACAAAAGAGTCTGTTTTATTCTTTTTAAAAATTAAATAATGTGCACATCAGAGCACTTTTTTTCATTGTTTTAATCCTGTGTTGTCTTCATCCTGCAGATTCTGTTATTATTTTCAGTAAATTTGATTGATTTGGTTAATTTAAGTTGTCTTAAATGTCACCCGTACACACAGATGATAAGTTTCTCTGCACATTTTAGGGAAATTTACTTTATATCTGCTAGGCAGCAACAAATAATTGCACCTGCAGCCTCAACATGCACCACAATTCATTCATATCATGTATATATACATGGAATACCAA